GGCCTAACCTCTGGACAGGTAAGAGAGGAGAGGGTTGGAAACCAGGTTCCAAGGTGTCAGCAGTGACCCCATTGGTCATGCCTCTATAATGAAGCCCCAATAGAAACCCCGGACACTGAAGCTCAGGGGAGCTTCTCTGGCCAGTAAGACTCTGGAGTATTGCTGCAGGTAGGTGCTGTGGAGTTAGTTCCTGACTCATAGTGACCATATGTACAACACAACAGTGTCCAGTCCCGGGGCTGTCCTTAAAATTACTGCTGTGCACGAGCCCATTGCTGCAGTCGCGGTGTCAATCCATCTCACCGAGGAATTTCCTTTTTGTGGACTTTCTACTGTACCAAGCATAGTGTCCTTTTCCAGGAACTAATCTCCCCTGAAAAACACATTCCGTGCCAGCAAGGCCAAGTTCCTCCTTCTTCAGTACCGCCTGGGAAGGGAGCGTGTCCCTGGGACAATGGGGGCTTCTCTTTGAGGAGTCTCCCAGACCTCACCTATGTGCCTTTCTCTCTCTCTCTGGCTCGTACCCTTTGCTATTATAAAAATGTCATCACATAAGGATAGCACTTTCCTGAATTCTTTGACTTGTTCTCAAAGAATTTGAACCTGAAAGTGGTTATGGGAATCTTGAATTTTGTAGTCAGCTGGGAAAAATCTGAACTTGTGAGTGGTGTTTGAAGTCAGCAAGAGCAGTTTGTGGAGAATTGTATGCCCTGTTGGCCCAACTCATTGCAACTGCTCAGAGACCAAGGCAATCATATCCATGCCAACAATTACACTGTTCAGGCTTTCCCATTCTCTAACCACTTTCATAGATTTGTCAGCAAACTGTGGCTCAGAAGCTGAGTGGTATTAACTTGACCACACAGTGGATGATAGGAGTTGAATTCATATTCAAACTCAGGAGACTGAGCTTAATTGATATTCTTTAATATTGAACTAAAATATTAATTCTAATAATATTGAGTTGATCTTGGATCTTCCATGCATATAAGCAAGTCAACTGCAAATATGGTAGGTCTACTTCATTCTCATAGTCACATCTTTTCTTTCTTCCCTCCAGATCCTCATAAGCACCAGTTATGCATGGTATTAAGTAGAAACTTGCATTTTCTACAGTCGTAACACCTCTCCTGCTAGTCCCTTAGTAAGCCCTTCTCCGCATCCTTGGATGTTCAAATCACATCCTACCTTCAGGACGCATTCAAGTGCTCTAAAAAATTCTTTGATTTTTTTCATACCATGTAACTTCTCTTTCTTCTAATAAGTGGTTTTCACCTGGGGGTGACTTTTGTCCCCCATCCAGCAGACATTTGGCAATACCTGGAGACACTTTTATTTGAGGCCAGGGATGTTGCTAAATCCCTTACAAATCACAGGATGTCCCCTGGCCCCACAACAAAGAGCTGTTGTTGTTGCTAATTACTGTTGGGCGGATTCCAACTCCTGGTCATCCCTTGGGTGCAGAATAGGCTGCTTCACAGGTTTCTCAAGGCTTTGGCGACATTGCCAGAGCAGCTCCCTGGGCTTATCTCCCAGGGTGCTTCTCCGTGAGCACATCTAGCAGCCTTTATGTTAGTTTACTCTTTGTGCTGCCCAGACGGAGGCCTACTCCAAATGCCAAGAGGGCCAACGTTGAGAAAGCCCCGCCCTAAATGAAAGCCCAAGACATCATGATGCATATTTCTACTTCGAAAACCTCCAACAACTTATTTATGTGTAGGTTTATATTTATCATAGACTACACATTAACTATACCACGAAGAGCCAGAGGAACAAACAAATCTGCCTTGGAAGAAATATAGCCACAATGGCCAGGCTTGGCTTTGCCTTCTGTGCTCTGGACACGTTGCTTGTGGAGACCAGGCCTTGGAGAAGGGCATTGAGCAATAGAAAAGGGAAGACCGTCAACAAGCTGGGTCGACCTAGTGCCTGAAACCAGGGGCACACACAGCACTGGACGTGAGGATGCTGTAGGGCGGGACCGCGTTTCACTCGCTTGTATGTAGGGGCCCTTGAGTCGTATCTGGCTCAGCAGTCCCTGACAACAGCCACATAAACTAGTTGAAGGTAGAGACTTTGTCGTGGTCGTCATTTAAACCACTAATCTTCAGACTAGTGAGCAAGTGTTTCCTTTCAAGTCGTCTGCATCATCTCACCTTAGAAGCACTCTGAAAGATGACACGCAGTAGGTAACATGCTTTCAAGCTTCCTAAGACATCCAATGGGAAAAACAGAGGGTCTAAGTTTTACATGTAGAAAACCCGGGCATTGTCCATTCTTATACACTTGCCCCAAGGGATCCCATAAACCATAGTCTATTAAAAAAAGGGGAGGGATAGGAAAAGAATATATTTGAAAAGATACAATTCACATATGAATGTATTTGGAAAAACATTTCAACCATGAAGAATTTGACGATGTTAACTGAAAACTCGACTAGCAGAATCAAACCAAGGAGGAAAAGAACAATTGAAAACCCTTTCAAGACCCTTGGCTCAAGGGAAACATGATGGGGGAAACAAATGCTCAACATACCAACAGGGGCGTCACATTCAGAGCGCACATGAAAAACAAAACAAAAACCCAACAAAAAACAACCAGATCCCCCCAGAGGAGAGTAAGCATTGTTTTAGTTAAAGTGCACGAAGTATCTGCATTCCTGATGATATGTCAGCAGTCATTCAGTTTTGCTGTGTCCCGGGAGAAAACACGCATCCCTACAATTCTCCTCAGCAAGAGTGTTTCCAACACGAACTACAAGGTACCAGCAATCACCGATGTTTCTGCTTGAGAACAGAAATCGTTCTTCCACAAAGGAAGGCTGCGCTTACTTTCCACTAATGACTACATTTCCAAGTAACCATCCGAAGAGCAGCTCGCTTTGTTACCTCTGGCAAGAGCGGAGTACAAAGTAGGTAGCTAGCTGGTACCTCGAACTTGTATGTGTGTGGTTTTCATTTGTGTGCGGGACTTTCATGTAACTATCTGACAACTGAGTGCTTTGAAGTGAGCTGTCTATTAGCGAACACAGATGTTTTCACTGAATTTTATGATGCCCTTAAAAATTTCATAGCAATCATAAAAAATCATATTGTAAAATAATAATTCACTGTGGCCAATAGCCTGGGCCGTGGTCAAAATGAACATGGATATATTTTATGTGAAAGAGCAGATGGGAGCTCTAAAATGGAATAGCAATCACCTCGAAATGAAATTACACCCATGTTAGCAATTTGTTCCCAGTGTTTAAAGCACATTTAAAAAAAATTTATGAGGAGCATTATTTATTTTCCACACGAACAACGCTTTAATTATTAAAGCTCAGGGACTCAACCTTAATCATCTTTTAAAAAATCACTAGCCTACAAGATAATTAGCAAATCTCTCTTTCAATCTATGTTGTCTCGATAAAGACTTCAGATGAACTAAGATGGGTGAAGGTGTTAACGTTAAGCTAACTTAAAGTTCTCGGGAGGTGTTTGACAGAGCACGAGTGGTGCAGTGGGTTCCCCCAAGCCGCTGCTACTGGCAAGGTCTTCAGTTTGAATCCGCCACAGCGGGGAGGCTGTCTGCTCCTGTGAAGATTTACAGCCTCAAACTCCAGGGCGCTGTTCTACTTTGTCCTGTAGGGTTGTTATGAGTCAGAATTGGTTTAACAGTGGTAGATTTTTTGGAAACGCTAAGATAGCTGACAAATGAAAAGAAGCAATTCATTCACAGGACTAGGGACCCACACAAACCACAGCCTTCTGGTCGACAGCCTAAAATCAGAAGATCCTGATGGCGCCTGGTCACCAACATCGCCTACTCTGACCAGGGACACAACAAAAGGTCTTGTAGATAGGACAGGAGAAAGATGTAGAACAAACTCAAATGAATAAGTAGGACCAGATTCACTGGGCTAATAGAGGCCAGAAGAACCCCTGAGATTCTCACCCAAAGTTGCCCTTTTAACCGGGCACTGAAGCCATCCCGGAAGTCACCTTTCAGACTACTAAGAGCTTATAAATATAAGCAGACAAATATCAGCTTATAAAATATACTAAAATGGCCCCTGAGGAATATCTGCCTTAGGACAGTGAACTAAACAAGACCAAATGGGCTGCAGCTGCCCCAAAGCAAAGAGGAACAGGCAAGGAAGGGCAGGGGACGGAGGGATGGAAACGGGGTGTGTGCTGAGACCTTGTGGGGAGAGCGACCAAGACCACAGTGCCACCTGTGTATAAATCGTTGAAAGGGAACGAATTTGCTACACGATCGCTTACCCAAAACACAATAAAATGTTTTAAACAAAGATATTTGATTTGTGAGAAAATAATGTAGTCTTTTTTTTATATACATTCAACAATGCATACATAATTTGTTTCAGTTCTTCCATTTCTATGCACTTAGTGGACTACGGCTTATCCCACTTCCTCCCCTCGTTTTCTGTTTCTGCTCCTTATCTCCTAACCCTTTTTGTCCTGGAGTAAACGCTGCCCTTGTGATCTTAAGTGGTTGATCATTCTAACACACGCGTGCACTCAGTTCCAGACATAAAGCGTGTCTAAGACTCGTAGACTAGGGGGTCCCATCAATCTCTATACAACCAGTGAGCCTGGTTTATTTTATGATTTTTAATTCTGTCCCATATTTTTCTTCTACTCTACCTACCCAGGGCCTTCTAGTGGGATCCTTTTCAGAGCAGTTGGTAGTGGTAGCCGGGCACCATCTAGTTCTTCTGGCTCCAAGGTTGTAGAGAGTGATGGTTGTATGGTCCATCAGTCGACTGAACCAATGGTTTCTGTGAGTCCTTTAATTTAATTCCCCTCACTCTTCTTTCCTCCGGAGGTGAAGAGATCATTAGTTGCACCTTAGATGGCTGCTCACAAGCTACTAAGTTCAGCTATTGGCCAGTGTCATTTCTGACTCCATGTATTGGTCCCAAGTAATTCCATACACCATAATATATCAATGTTAAAAATATTAAATATATAAACACATACGAAAGAACTACTTACCCAGTAAGTCTGAAGCTCTCAAATTTTCTTTCAGGAAAATAACAGAAATAACAGCGCTACCTACAAAGAAAATGGACATGCGTTGTGCTTCTAACAGAAAAACATATATTATGCAATACTAGCTGAAAGAAGTCAATCACTTTATGTCCTATGCCTGACTAGCTATGTCCTAATCAAAGACACCCAACTATTACAGTTGTGAAAGCAGCTTTCATTTCCTTTCATAGCTGAGGATTCATGAAAATAAGCCTGTTCCCCACTGGACCCATAAAAGAGGCTTAGATGGGGCCCGAGATATGATTACCCACCACCATCAAGTCAGTTCTGACTCTATAGGGCAGAGTAAAGCTGGCCCTTAGAATTTTTGACATTGTAAAACTTTATAGGGGTAAGCAGTCTCATTTTTCTCCCAAGGATCAGCTGGCAGGCTTGAACCAACAACATTGTGGTTAGCAACCCAATCTGCTACCAGGGCTCCTGGTTTATAGCTTAATAAAAGTTTACTAAAAAACCTGAACAAATGACTGGAAAGAAAGATGACAGGCAGGAAAAATCTGGAAGGGGTAGAAAGGCATGAAGAGACAGGAGAAAAGACAGAAACGAGGACACAGGTCTTCACTTTTTTAATACCGGGAGAATGTAGGTAGCACATCATTTGCCAGTTTAATGTCTCTCACAGGTAAAATTTTTGTGACACCAATTACATTAATCATATTGTGCAACCAACTCCATTGACAAATTTTTCATGACCAGAAACTAAATGTTTTCTAAAAAACAACACACACACACACACACACACCTCTCCCTCGTTTCTCCTGCTCCTGGTAACACTAATAAACTCTGGTTTCTATTCTAATATTATAAATATTTCCTATGTCACATATCACACTGCTATAGTTGCCCTCCTGGGGTTGACTTACTTCACGTGATACAACGTTTTCAAGGTTCAGCCACATGGCAGCATGTAGCAGGAAGAAGGCTCACCTTCAAATATCTCCCAAACTGGATATATTTAAAACAAACAGCATACATTTAACAAATAGTATCTCCTTCCATAATCCCTAATCCAGTTAATGATCCTCCCAATAGTACCCACAGTCCTTTTTGTAGACCCCTCTCTTCTTCACAGCCCACAGCAACTGGCTCTGTGCCAGCGGTGCTTCCTGTCTCTCAGCCCAGCCCTCTCGTCGTCATGCCCATCGTCACTGATCTCTGACTTAGACCCCTCCTCACACGGCCACCAGAATAACAGCACAACAATGCCAACCCCCAGGTGTGAAACCTTTTCGTCGCTTCCTGAGTCAGAACGGACTTGATGGAGGTGAGGAACTGTGTGTGTGTAGGTGTGTCCTTTTGTCCCTTACAGGACAAAGGTCAAACTTGTGTACCTGACAAATGAAGACCACTTTGAAGGGCCTTGCCTCTTTCTCACCATTTGTCATGACCTCTTTTTCATCAGACACTTTGCTTTTAGTGAAATACATACAAAGCCCAGAATCCACCTTCAGTTTTATGCTCAAGAGCCATTGCATGTGCTGTTCCCTCTGCTCCTCGGCCTCCACTCTCTTGTCCAACTCTAGACCCGAGTGTCACCTCCAGAGTACCCCACGGGGTTGATCACTCCACTGCTAGGCCGCGATGACCCCACGTATCGCGACACCTGAGATTTCTTCCCGTCGCCCATCTGTCAGTTTGTTTTGTTGGGGTGGCTTGTGTGTTGCTGTGATGCTGGAAACGATGTCACAGGTACTTCAAATACCAACAGGGTCACCTGTGGTGGACATGCTTCAACAGACCTTCCAGACTGAGATTAGGAAAAAGGATCTGACAGTGTGCTTCCAGAAATCAGCCAACGAAAGCCCTGCGGACCATACAGAACATTGTTCAATATAGTATGAGAAGATGAGCCCCTTGGGTTGAGAGACGCTGACAATACACAGAGGCTGAAACATTGGTATAAAAAATGGTGTGAGGGGGGTGGGGGTCACGTCTGACCTCCTCTGACTTTATAAAGGAGAATGAGAATCAAACTCATGAGCTCAAGGCTGATTCCTAGGAGGGAGAGGTCAGACATGCCTCTGCCCTCCACCCTTCCTTACCAATTCTGACACCAACTGTCCCTTCTCTGCTGGGTTGGATCATTAATTACAATGGCCATACAGAACTCAGACAATGCACACAACTATTGGATTTATTAGAGTAGTTAACAAGTTATAATTCAGGATCAGAAATTCGCAGGACACAGTTCTTAGGCCAGCACAGCTTATTCCCAGTCATGCCTATAGGCAGGCCTCTCTCTGCTCTTTGACTCTCAGCTTTGTGGCCCCTTAGCCTGTGTACTGCTAAGGATGATGTTACAAAACACCCCTAGTACTGCCAATAAATACCCAAAGGGCATATCACTCTGCCATAAGCCTCAGCCCGAAGGTGCTCAGCTCTGGCTCTGTGGGCCATCAAACCTGGCTCTCTCAGTTAAATGCCTAGAGGCACTGTCATGAAATCCAGCTTTCTGCCCAAAGGCCCTCAACTTTACTTGCTCCATGGTCTGGGAAGTCCACTATCCTTGTTCCGATATTCCTAGTGCTGTGCCTACTGCTCCTCTGGTGTCTCTGGGGCCCAGCAGGATCGGCATGCAGGGATTCCAAGGTCCAAAGGATGAATTCTGTTCCTGGCTCTTCTTCCTTGATGGTCGTGAGATTCTCCATTTCTGCTTCTGAGATACTTCATTTTATACCTAGCAAGATGGCAACATTGCCTAATCTCCATGTTAGAATTTCACATTTTTAAAGTTGTAATTAACCTTGTTGATAATGATCGCTCATAAATGAATTCTATACCCAGTCTGCACAGGCTGGCCCAGCTGTTTGACAGGAATTGCAAGACCTGTAGCGAGGGCAGTCAGATCAAGTAAGCCAGGACAGCATGAATAGACTCGGGTAGCCAGACAACTGTGACGAGGACACAGAACGGGGCAGTGTGTCTTTCTGCTCGACACTGGGCTGCCATGAGTCAGGTGACTTGACGGCAGCCAACACCCACAATGAGTATGTTTCAATTTTCTATTTCAGATTTGAACGATTTAGGAAAACTAATGTCACCAGGTGCCCCGGGGGGCACTGTCGGCTAAGGGCTAATGTCTTCGGTTCAAACCCACCAACTTCTTCAAGGGAGAAAGATGAGGCTTTCTGCTGCCATAAAGATTTACAGCCTGGAAAGCCTACGTAAAGTCAACATGGTTGGAATCAACTGCACGGCAGTGAGTTTTTCCAGGCATGTCACATAGTAGAACATTAGAAAGAGTAGAAGACCAAGCCCCTCCTGTTATTGACTTCCTTTGTAATGAGATAAGGAATATTCCCAAGCAGAGGAGAGATGGATCGGCAATAAAATAGAAGAAACATTGTTAAACTAATCTATACAGAATGTATTCCATGATAACGATCCTTGGAATGGTCATTCCTCAGCAGAGGATTCCAGCATGAAGGGAGCTATTGCCTAGTGGAAACACGGAATGGTTAGAACTAGGTCTTGAACTTGGTAATTGGGAAACAGGTCCAGTTAGGCTGTGCTTATTAATTCACTGATCTGTTTATCTCACAGACATTTATATTACAGATAAATTGAACCAGTACCCATATTTCGTTATTCCCAGCTCACGGCACTTTCTAGGATACAATATTACATTCCTCCCTTGGAGAAAGGAAATACATAATTTCAAATCTCTGCTTGCTACTAAGACACAGTTTCATAAATATATTTACTTTCAGAAGGAAGAGGGGAAAGTGTTTTGTGGAAGATAATTGCTAGTAGCAAAAGGGACATCATTGACAATAAGCTGAAATATATTACAGGTACCAAATTGTATCGATTGTTGTAAAATATCAAATTATTTTCAAAATAGTTTTATAAGAAATATATGATGGTTTACTTTCTACTGAAAGAATTGCAAAGTCTACTGTCCTACATTCATCTAATATATGTATTTTCATGTTTTAAGAGAACATGAGACTTTTCTATAAAATTTTTAGACAAGAGATTTTTATTTTACTCATCCAGTTTTTAAAAAGTAATAAAAGAACACTCTCAGAGATGCTTTTACTTCTAATTCATTTATTTTGTAAAACATGGTTAAAAATGAAAGTTGTACTAGGCAAAAAGACAGCATGTGTGTTGCAGCTAATGACATGACTTCTAGGTAGCGCAATACATTTTTTTAAAAATGAGAAAAACTACACAAAGTGAAGTGATCCCATTAATCTTTGCAACTGAGATGTGTCAAATTCAGTCCTCTCTGAGCAGTTGCTATAACAACAACCATTTCCTAATGAGTACCTAGAATGTGGGATAGGTGGGGGTGGGGGGAGTGCAGCTGCATTCCAAGGATAACATTTAATATTGAGTATTAGAAAGAGGATGCCAAGAGCAAGGGTTTTGAAGTATTAAAAAAAAGAACATGTCTATAAACGAACTAGATTTGTACTAGGTGGGATTAAGCTATAGTAAACAGTGAGCATTTATGTAAGCATTCAGTTTTGTGCACAATTTTTGGCTTGAGGCATTTTGTTTGGGCAGAGGCTCAGAAATGATTTTACTTTTCGTCCTTCTCTACAAGACAGTGCTCTAGAAACCGGTCCACACAGAGAACTCAGGGAGCCTGGACAACAGCGTGCTCAGTGGTCTGCATAGAATGTCCATAGACGTTGGTCCACCCAGTATATTCACGGATCCTGGTTGACAGAGTGCTCATGGCTGTGGGTCTACATAGAGCTTTCAAAGGCACTAGTATGTGCAGTTTCTTCATGGATCCTGGTCTCTACGGTGTGCTTTTGGACATTGGTCTGCTCAGAGAGTACGCATGGGCCCAGCTCAACACAGAAAGTGCTCGTGAACTCTGGCCGATACAGAGTGCTCACAGATAGGTCTATACAGTATTCATGGGCATTGTTCTACACAGAGTGCTCTAGTGTACCCAGCGTGTCCGAAGGCACTAGTCTGTATAGAGAGTACTCGTGGACCCTGGTCTATACAATGTGTTCACAGATACCTGTCTATTCAGAGCA